TACAAATTTTATCGCACAACTCAAGGTCGCCCAGATTCAAACGGTGATAGAAGAGACCTAACAGCATAGAAGTGGGACATAAAATCAGGAATAAATACAATTTACGAGTACCATATTGAGAACTGAAATGTATTTCCAAAAGGAGAGTGAAGTTACACAAGTTTGATCAACACCTATATACACACACATATATATATATATATATATATATATATATATGTATATATATATATATCGCTGAAACTTTCAATGAAACATGTTGGCCACATTTAATCACGGGACAGATTTAATTTGGCTACTTCGCGTTATCTCTCCAACAAACATACATGAATGATGCACGTTCTTGTTCTTATGTAATTCCCGAAGAGAAACGGATGCATTTTGACATTATACCCTAGAACACTCAAAGCACTTGATCGTGTTTAATTACTACACATGATGAAAGACGAGCATTGCTTGCCTGATCAACCCAGCCGAGAGGTGCATCGTCGTCCACATAAAAGGTGATATTCGAATACCGATATTCTATCACACACAAATCAGTTCTGTCACAGCTTCCAAATCGAAATGCACTCAAATAGATGCGAATATATATGGGAACACTAACTTGCATGCAATGAGATAACTTCTTGAAAAGAAATAAACATAACAAGAGCTTAGATGAGCCGTTCCAGATGAGTTGAGTATTTAATCAAAAGAAAGATAAAAATACATGGCAGACTGAGTTTAGCAGATCATGGCGTAGGCCTTCCGGGAGAGCGAATTGAATAACGAGAGAAAAAACGAAAGACCGGTGAGTCGGAATTCCCATCCGAGACAGCGCAGTGGGTTAGAGGCGTAATGTGGGCAATGTGATATCACAATTTGGAATACGGAATTAGATAATTGACTGGCAGTAACGGGGATCCTAGAATTTGATGATGGGCACCTGGATTATAAATGAAAACATCGGGGGAGGGTAAGAAAATACAGGATAAACACTGGGAGAAAAACATCAATCGCACGTATCCCAGAGTGTTGTTAGCGGTTCAAGCTTTGCGCTACGTGATTGGTCACAAAGTCTGACGAGGGAGGAAAACAAAAATGAAAGATCGATTATCAGTTAATCTGTAAGAGAACTAAGAACACAGAAGTAGGAGACAAAATCAGGAATAAGTACACTTTATCAATAGCCGTCAATATACAAGTGTGATATTGGAGACTGAAATGTATTCTCAAAATGAGAGTGATGCTACACAAGTTTGAATTCAACACATCCAGTGACCATGATGCTTCTCGCTATCATGAAAATATTAAAGGGAGCTGTGCTGGTATTTTACATTACAAAATACCCTAAGGCTGTGTGAATATTATGAGCGGAGGTGCATACACAGTGCATAGTAGATGAATGATGTCTGCTTGTCGGTTTTCCTTTTCGAGGCTGGTGTGATACGTGCATTTCTAAAACAGTGGGTAATTCTTGCTTCTCTAAGCGACGAGTGAAAACGCAGGCGAGCCAATCAGCCTCAAAATAAACACATTCCGTGAGTACGCTAGGACGTAGTCTATAAGGGAACATCCATTCTGTTTGCGTCAGATTAGAATGAACATGCAGAAATTCATGACGACCAACTGATTGGAAATTTGATTCCGACGCTTCCGAATGATTTCATGCGGAAAACATGCTTATTGACTTCAACCATTGTGGGTTGAGTCCCGCGTGGACTATTTTTGTTTTGTTCCACGGAGATTTTTATTGCACTCCAACAGGTCTGCTTGCGATTCCGATCACCAAGAATGGTTTCAGAGTAGTCTGCCATTATTTTTTATCTGTCTTGATCACTGCTGATGTTTATTTGTCAAAAGCTTGATTGCGATTTTTGTATGTCCCCATCTTTATTCATTATAAGAGACTCCAAAGTACGAGAAGCAAATCCGCCGCACCGCAGAAAGTAAAATATTTGACAGAACAACATCTTTGCCAGATAGCTTTAGTGTTTAACCAAACAAACGGAAAACTTTACTTCCTAGGATGGCAATCGCTCTTCAGCTTTTGCAATGAATAATTGTTTCAAGAAGCCATTCTGTCTCGTTTCTCTCTATCTTTGCACACAAACAATCCTCCTACTGCCTGTCATCTTATTGATTGCAAGTATGCACATGATGTCGAAATCAACATAAACAGTCGGTGCTACCAATTTTGTTATTTCACTAGAGTACTGATTATGTTAGCCTGCATACAAGACTTCAGTTAGAAAACTGTGTTCCGTTACTCAGGTTTTCCCAGTCATCCTTGTTTGTGGAGACAGACGTGAAAACAACACAAATTTTTCCCTGAAGTTCCATCAGGGGGTAGAAAAGGGTCATAGTCTGCTCATCCGAAATCGTGCATGCGTTTACTGTGAATCCGTGTTTCAAGTGCTTGGCAGGCCTTCATTTCGTCTGAACACTGTTTCCAGGTTTGTGCTGAAGTTGGATAAAGGATGATGATAAACGGCTGACAAACAATAGGAGCAGCTGTACTTGAACTTCAATGTTGGGTTCCTTTAATTTTACCACGTCGACTTCAATGTAATACTGCACTTTGAGTCATGTATGCATCGCGCACCTTGGTGGTAGAATTTTCCGTGTGTGGTTAACTGAGATGTATACTGAACAGTGAATAATGTGCACATGTGCGAGCAAGCAGGATTTTGCATCAAGAGCGGGTTCTAAGATTCGAGACAGTTCTGAAGATTAAGATGTTTAGAGGGCCGTCGGTATCAGACAACAGGCGTTTCGTAAACTCAGTAAATGGGTCGAAATGCTTCCAAACAGTGTCAATTGGATCATTGTAAGGAAAATCACTGGATCTTGAAAAGCAAGCCAGTTCATCAAGAGCTCTATCCACATACCTAACAGCTCACTGTGAACAGAACACGATGTGAGAGTATCACGTAAACCAGCGGACCAGTACCACACATAGAACACTTTCGCGAAAACTGCACCTAAAACAGTTAATGGCGGATTCTTCAGCGGGATCAAAGCAAAAAATATGGATCTCCTCGATCTCGGTTTCCCTGCTGGACGCTTGCGAAGCCAAAACTTCTGATACCCAATACCATAAAGCTGGCTAATCCCAGCTCATCATGAGCCTGAGATAGGACCGCGAGAAGTAATAGACAGGAGCACGTAGACAACACTACGCTACTAATTGAGGATGCAGATGAACTGCAAGATTTTTGGATGGGTTGAATGCTAGTGTATCTGTGTGGTATGCGTTTTGAACCTTCAAAGTGGAAAATGTTCCAACAAAACTGCATTGATTTAGCCCCAAACTCACCCTGATTGGGGAAGTAATGGAGGAAGTAGATAAAATTTGCTGTCCGAGAAACTATACCTCACCTGGCGGACGCGTCACGGACGAAGTGTCGGCACGCATACAGAAAGCTCGGTTGACATTTGCCAACTTGAGACATTTCCGGTGACGTCGCGACATCCGACAGTCCATGAATGGTCGAGGGTATTCTGAAGCAGTTCGGCCAGTGCTGCTATACGGTGCCGAAACTTGGCCATTACGGGAAGAGGATAAAAATGAATTGAGTGTTCGAGTAACGTTGTCTACACCGGATAGCATGAATCTGGTGGGGCAGCCGGACGAGCAATGCTGAGGCGTAGAGCGTACAAAAAGTGGTCCATCTCCAAAGAATACACTGTTTGGGGCACGAGTTAAGCATGCCACCAATCAGGTTGCCACGGCGAGCGATGTTTGCCGAGGAAGGGTAGCATTTGGAAAAAGATCAAGGGTGGTCAAACTAAGACCTGGCATGAGGGTATGAAAACTCTAACCAAGGGACTGGGTCACATAGGTCCCGTTAGGCTACCTGTATGGGGACCCCGAGATCATGGTAGCCAATGGTTAGAGAAGTTGCGTTATACGGCCTGGCGTCGTAAACAGTGGAGCTCAAACATCTACTCAAAATTGTCGCAACCGCAATCTATATGAATTCCCTATCTTTTCCTTGAATTTGTTCTTAACATTCCAATCTTTATTTTCTCTTTTATCGAAATGGGTGACCAAAAGACAGCAATGAAAACCGGCGCACGAAAGTGCGGGTTAAATGGTTGAAAATCTGAAACTAAAACAATTAAATATTGTCCCCCAAGACAGCAGTGTATGCGTCGACACGTAACTGGTAGCATCAAATCGAACGAAAAAGAAACCTTCGTGGGAAAGCGTAATGCTGTTCCGAGTTCTTATCAATGATGCGGTTTTGTCAAATCAAGGAAAAAGTATTTGCCTTGCATGGTTTGATTCATTCGCAGTTAACTCAGAGTTACTTGTGAGCAGTGGTGTGGGATAATTGATATTGATTGATTTGCATTGATTATCCTTCGAACTTCACCTTCGCGCACAATCCTCAGTTCATCGATTCAAAGATACTATCAAAAGCACTAGACTCGAGTTTCGCTCTTACTGGAGCTCATCAGTAGTGCATATCCACCGTTCTGCCCGGGATTTGAACTCCGGACTCATCACACGCGTTACCACTGTGCTAACCAGCCCATATCACGGGAAATTTATGTTTGTTCAGGTGTTGTCTTCAGTGATATTCAATTCGCTCATTTGGCCCGATAGCAACGAAGGGAAACACGGATGACAATCCCTCTTATTTATTATTCAACATTCAAACGCAAAACCGAAATTAACCTAAGTGTTGTTTCGTGAATCCAATAAATGTTTGATTCATTGTACGTTGTACACGAACCAGAATATTCAAATGTGTATTCGGGATTATCCAAGTGTTATTAAACGCAGCGTTTGATGAAGCCTATTGGTTTACTGCACTGATACGCAAGCGTGTCGCAATTTGACTGGTTCAAATTTTTAACAAACAATCGATGGTAGTTTACATTGAGGAGGATTCTATTTGTAGTAGTGAATTGAGATAAACCACATTTTACAACCCCACACCATGGATTTAGCCAAATTGTGATACTTGTTTCACCGGGTTGTCTGCAAAGAGTTCAAAATATTACTACTCCCATTCAAAGTCTAATAATCCATATTTCGTTAAAGCGAATAAGGCTAGCCTAATAATAAAATTGTGACTACGTGGGGAATACGAGCAGTTTAATAACGATGTTTTTCCACTCATAAACTCCCGAACTGAGCATATCGACTAAGATAGTTTACTGATAAGATGCTTTTATCAAACTAGTGAAAGTTAGTATGACTCACGTTGTGTGAACCCACAAGCCCTGTGACGAAAATCCCACTGCTTTTCGCGTAAGGGAATGCAATGGTGCTGCCATTATTAGAAAGTGATAAGCCAAAGAGCCAAACTGCACCATTTTGAAGGAAAACAGAGATACTATTGGGCTCCTGGATGGAATGGCGTTTTGACGGAGAACGTACGCTGGGTTGCTGTTGCATGCCTGTTTGAAACTATCACGGACACGCACTATTTCTTGGTGCCCTACCACCTGGCCCGGGGGTTTGTAACTCGAATACAAGACGAAGGGTTTGGATTTGCTACATGCCTATGGTTTACGCACGAGACCCTCTGAAGACTTACCAATACGATCACGCAAACATCGAAAAATCACTCTTGATGTGACCATCAAATCTCCTGCCGTGTCCAAGAAAACCGCTCCAATCAACGCTTCGAAAATATCCGCGAGGACTTTACTTGAGTTGATATTAGCCATATCAGACGGAAGCACCTGTTGAATTGAAAATATTCGGAATCAGTTTCTCGAGGAATGAGGGATAAGACTGAATGAACCGAAGAACTATCCTCTAGTACCGATATACCAATCGCCAAAATTCGCTTCTGGAACCACTGAGCGTTATCCATGTACCGATGCAGGATGTTACCTACCCCAAAAAGCACTGATACCATGTGTCACATCGATGGCCACTGATTCATTCGATAACTGTCAAACTGAAGAGACGCATTTGGAACACTAGGTCGTGCAAAAAATTGTCGATAGTTAGGACTGATTAAATTAGAGGTAAAATGACTACTTGGCTGTTCTAAGGATAACGGATAATATGGCTTTTAGAACGATAGGCATGATAATTGGTCTGGTTTACCAGGAAATGCCATCTTCCACAATATAGGTGGTGGCTGAGAGGCATATCGTACTCAGACAGAAGGTACCTTTGAACACCCCTCTTATAAACCGCTAGGTCTGCGACGAGCAGATAATGACGGACTGCGCCTTTTCAGGGTCACTAAAAGATTTCTTGTTTACAATACGTAGCTGGATTGTATTTTACAAATTATTATTAAGAAATGACAACTAGTGTACAAAATGAGATCATATTTGCTGAACGGATTTGGGATGACAAACAGACGCCATCCTAGCTATCATCACAGTTAAGCTGAACCCATGTTTGTGAAAGCAAAAATTCAGGAGAGGGCCCGATCAGAGGCGTCGTACTGATCGCTCGCTCAGAATCTCACAGTGGAAGGAACTCAGATGACCACAGACTAACTGTAATCAGCGAATTATTCGACCTCACAGGATTTTTAGTGTTTTAACCGTAAATTGAGACAGTGCTTTTGTAGCTGTTACTGGCGTGTTGCGAACCCTACGGACTGGGGCTCGAACCCTACCACCGCCACCCAACTTCCGTAGTCAGCATTGTTGTCTCCCGGTTTAGTAATACGCTTAACATGGAAGGGCCATGTGTGATTCACCACTCCAAGTCCCGGGGATTGGGTTAACGGTTTCCGTGACTAAATAGTAGGTCCCCACGACTAAGATCTGTAATGAAAAAGGTGAAAAGGTGTGTTTATTTATGCATTATTTCAAACCCTGGTCTATACAAACCAAGCCAGTAAGGACTCACTTCAAGTAGTGCGATACTTCGATCATTGATAGAGTGGAGTTGCTCTATTTGCATTGTGACTGAGTTCAGCAATGGATGCGCGTGAATGACGTGCTGATGTAAACCCAGCTTGACCATCATGTAGGCCAACGTTTTATTGTTCGTGATTGCAGAGCGACAAAAAGATAGATTGCCTGAATTGGAATGGAGGAAAATGGCAAAGGACGTGTGACAGGTGAAAATGAAAAAATGAAAAGCTCACAATAACGGTTGTGGTGCGTTTATTTGATCAGAATAAATACTCTACCGTCAAACAATTTCATTGCCACTGCCAGCTTTGGGCATCATCATCATCATCATTGTAAAAAAAATACAGTGAGGTGAACTTCACTGGCCTCTGCCAAACTCGCAATGCATACAAGGTTAATGGTAAAATTTAAGGTGGACAAGGATTGGACCTATTTTGAGAGAGGGAGAAGAAGGTGAACTTCTATGGCACATACACAGAGTGCACAATGGAACTCTGCGTACGTACAGCCTCAAGCGTTCTGGCCTGATAAGAAACGACAACAAGAATGCCACTGTTGTGGGTTCGCTGCCATATCCTTCAATGTCTCCAACCAGCCTTTCGGACCCGAACATGGAAGGCGAGAGACACCTACTTTACCTAATCGCCCTGTACATTTCTTCATGCCTCGTCTCCACATCATCTGTTGACCTCCACGTGGTTTCCTCCAGCCCGGATTAGCTACAGCGAAAAAAGCGCGATGCGGCAGACGACAGATGGGCATAAGCAATACCAGCGAAGTCTAGTAATCTGAATTCGGTATGCTAGCAGGTTTATACCTGATAAGCACCCAAACACGACGGTTTACCTACGCATTACTAACCCGTTCGCTCCATCCAACGTGAGCTAAACTGCATAAACACCGATAATCGAAAACTTCTAGTCGACGGATATCTTCTACTCGCAAATTCAGGATCTCAACCATAAAGCAGGACTAAACGAACGCTAGCACAATATACACGGCCTTTCAACTTCAGTGAAACGTCGCGTCTACGCCAAAGGTGTTTCAGTCCTGCGTATGCTGCACGAGCCTTGGAAATTCGGGCGGATTTCTCCTTTGCTGCGCTACCGTCATTGGTCACGCAACTACTTGAGTAAGGAAAGTATTCGAGCATAACTAAGTCTTGGCCATTTAGTGTTAAAGCGGGAGACGAAACCCAGTCCTGCAGCATCACTTGGCACTTTGAAGGTGCAAAGCACACACCGAATGTGGCTACTGCACTTGTTAATTTATCAAGTGCGCTTTGCGCATCCTCCATACATTGGAACAGACAGACAATATCATCGGCGTACTCCAAATCGCACAGATATTCTCCAGCTGCCCCTTCAATACCTACGTTTTGGAGTCCACATAGTGTGTTCTCCAGTATTTCCTCTAAGACGAAATTGAGCAGGAACGGTGAAAGAGGGCACCTATGACGAACGCCGCTGCTGGTGATGAACGATCTATTTAGTTCGTTGAAAACCCTTACACGACCGGGGGATGTGAGTACAGTGACCTCAGTAAGTTAACGTACTTCTGGGGTATTCCTTTTCGCAGAAAGAATTCATCAGAGCTTCGCGGTCAATTTAGTCTAAGGTTCCTTTCAGGTCAAGGAACAGTGCGAACGTTGGTCGGTGGTGGGTGTGACGCAGACTAAGGACCTGACGCAAACTAAAAGTTTGGTCAATAAATCCACGGCCAGGCCGGAATCTGGCTTGCTGCTCACGGTTGTTGGTCTCTACTTACGGCGTCAGACGCTGAAGTATTACCGAAGCTAGTACGATTGGGATCAAACTGCTCTGTGAAATCTGCAGAAAGGGGTATTCCTAATTAGGCATGCACGTTCGACTATTTCATGGAAAACACAATACGACAAACCGGGGGCATAAAACCCAACGAAGAAGAAGATTCGTTCGACAGAAGATAGTGCAAAACACAAAGTGATACAAACCGTAGTTATTGACCGGGGATATAAATTGGGCGCCAACCAACCAGAGAGGAGATTCGGATTGCAGATAGTTCCGAAAAGCACGGAGCAACCAAGATGGTTGTCTAGCTTCCATTTACAATCACACAATAGCAAATAACAGTGTCACAATATTATTTGTTATTGTTTGATTGTAAATGGAAGCTAGACAACCACCGTGGTTGCTCCTTAGTTTTCGGAACTATCATGCATAACTCACTGTCACAATACCATCACGACGAGACTGCACCTTGACGTGGTGTGATGGCTTGCGCGCCTTAGTGACCCTGCGAGCTACACAGGATGGCTTCTCACAGCCGTAGATTCAATCAATCAATTCAATCAAGTCTTCGCACTTCATTGGAGAGCTATCGCCCGCCCATGCTGGGCAGCCCCCAGCCAATAAGGTGCTGTCCCGTTCACGTTCCACTTGTCTCATTGGGTGCATGAGGCTAAGGGTTAATCCCGAAAAGCGGACCGATAATCAACGCACCAGCGAACAACACACTGAACCGAAATTCAAAGGCCTTGCGTGACACGTCTCCAGAAGCTCCCACACGGGTGCTTCGTTCACGCTCCCGCGTTGGATTTACGCCCCACTGCCTTGTGGGTCAGACTTTTGAGTCAAAGGCTCCGGTTAGGGTTCCCAAAGAAAAAACCCTTCGTCGGTGTGGGCTACCGCGAAGTATGCCGTGCCCTAAAGTCTTAGGCACCCATTTGGAAAACGNAGTTCTTCTTCTCAACCTCGATTAATCCCAGATGCCTCCTGTTTACGCCACTCATCGAATATCACGCAGCGTTTTACCATCAAGGCCAGAGATCCAGAAGCTATAGGGTTTTTAAAGCCAGAATCCCCTTTGTCCACACGCTCTATCAGATTGGCCAACAAGCTGCCCTGGCTAAAACTCTCGAAACTTTCAATCTAGATGTATATTGTATCTCCGAAACACGCATACAAGACCCTACTTCCATTGTCTCTCTGCGTTCTCCTGAACCAACCTCAACCTTACGCTTCACCCGTCGTGTGTCAGACGATTCGCCATCCGAAGCTCGCGATGTTGCTGGTGTCGGGATTGCGCTAAGTACCAAGGCTGAGCGCTTGCTTCTTGACTGGATTCCAGTCAGTAGCCGATTGTGCGCTGTACGTCTCAATGGTTCAGTTCGAGTCAACAGCTACAGAACGAAGCGTCGATGCTTATTCGTCGTATCGGCGT